TGTAGGATAGAGGCCAAATCCCTCTTGCAGTGACTCAGGTTCACCATTCCTACTGGAAGGATGGGGTATGGGTGAATGGCCCTTAACCTCTCCCTTAACTGGTTCACACCACTCTGATGCCTACATCTTTTCCTCCCCACTTGACTTGTTACCCTACTCTGTTTTCTGCCTCCCTCTTCATCGGTGAGACACAGGGCTGAACCAGGGCCCCCAGGTTAAGTGATCCATACTCTTAAGTCAGCAAAGGCCATATAGATGGAGGTCTGGGGCCAAAGACTGATCAGGATCCAGAGAACTTAAAAGCACCTGGCAAGCCATAATGTAAAACCTGCTGTGTCCACTGCCATCTAGTTGCCCCAGTTCTAGCAGGTAATACTAGGGTAATAACTATCTAGTTAAGAAATGGAAGGAGGCAGACCCCTCCTTTTACCCTAAGTTACTCCACCCTTAGAAATACTCAGGTTCCACTGTAAGTTTAAATTTCTAGTAGGTTGCTCACACTTTTATCCCAACATTTGGGTGTAATCAGAGACTGCTCTTTTCGTTTCCCAGCCACTAAGACCCAAATAATCACACAGAAACTATACTCTATATTTTCCCAGCCTGGCTACATTCTGCCCTGCCCTAGGCCGAAGTAGCTTCTTTATTAATCAATGGTAATAAGACATATTCATAGCATACAGAGGGGAATCCCACATCATTTTGGGAGGCAGAGGCAGGTAGATCTTTGACTTCCAGCCCACTCTACAAGGTGAATTCCAAGCCAGCTGAGGCTCTGTCTCAACAACAAAAAGTCTCTGGTAGGGCTGAATATGGTAACTTACACCTTTTAATTCCAGCACTTAGAGACAGAGACAGGCATATCTCTGTGTGTTTAAGGCCAGCCTAGTGTACATAGTGAGTTGCAGGCCAACCAGGACTACATATAGAGACCCTGGAAGGGGAATGTATGCCAGAAGTCTCTGAGCAGAGGTTTTCGAATATAGAAGTAGCCTTGAGAGTTCAAATTCTGAATCTGGGGAGCTTTAACAAGAAGTTACCTTGTGAATATCTAACCCAGTACTACTGTAACTTTCTTGAGAAGTAGGGATGTGCTTCTCACAAGGGCTCCCATCTCATTAGTATAGGAGGGCAGGTAGGACAGGACATGTAGCCACAGCAGTGGTTTACCCAACTCCATGTCAGTAGCAAACATGACCCCCTGCAGACATTGGTTCAGTAAATCACATACTGCCCATGTCACTTTGTCACCACTTTGTAGCTGGCAAATGGCATTCAGATTCCTCTATTCTATTTTAGAACCTGGATCTGGTACAAGGCAATGTTCACATCAGCACCCTTTTTTTCTTCATTTTTGGAGACAGGGTTTCTCTGTGTAACCCTGAGACTCGATTGTAGTCCAGGCTGGCCTCAAACTTACAGAGATCCGTCTGCCTCTGCCTCCTGAGTGCTGGGATTAAAGGTATAAACCACCATGCCCCTCTCCCATTGGCACGTTTTGTTCTCCTTTTACTAGTCTCCTTGTCTTCTCCAGGAAGCCATTTTTTTTATTTGATTTGCTTTGTTTGGAAACGGAGTATCAAGTCCTTCAAGCTGCCCTGGAACTGGCTATATAACTGAAGGGTGATCTTGAACTGATTGTCTTGCCTCTACTTCCCAAGTGCTAGGATGACAACAGTGAGCCACAATACCTAGCCCCTCCAGGAAGCAGTTTAGTTCATTCCTACAGTGCTATTATAGCATCTTGATAGTGTGAAATAGACTAGTGGTGACAGGGTTAGAGATTGCTCTCCTAAAACCCTCAGTACTAGAACATCTCTAAAAGGTCACCATAGTAGGCAAGTCCAGAGAATTGGCAGACTGAGTGGGGTTTCCTATATGTAGGTGACCCCTCTTGAGGGCTGAGAAGCTTGAGGCAGCTCTGCTGGAGCAGGAGATGGGTGCAAGGACCAGTACTATCCCAAAACTAGAAGTAAAAGGTTCTCTGAGAGCCCCATGCTCCTGAGCTTGCAGTTTCTCCTCTCATAAGCTATTTTTTTTTTTTTGCCCCTTCTCTTTTCAGAGAAAGTCGTGATATCAAAGAAGACCGCACAGGACCAGGACCTTCCTATGGGCCCTTCTCAGGATATTCCAATAGCACAAGCAAGGGTGTTCCTCTAAGACAAAAAGAGCCACGATCCTTTGAGAAGTGCCATGGTGGTCAGGAGAAGCAGAGGTAGCTCCCAACAGTTGCCTAGCCTGGGAGGACAGGGTGGTTGTACAAGTCTCCTAGGTATGCTCGGAACTGCCCTGCTGCTCATCAGCCTGCCATGGGGGGCCCAAGTGATGGCCAGTGTCAACCTCAGCACTGCTCTGGGCCACTCTGTGCCACTGACCGGTGGTCACTATTTGAGCATTGGGGATGGTTCAGTGACAGAGTTTGAGTTCCCTGAAAAGAGTGAGGGTATCATTGTGATCTCTAGCCAATACTCGGGACAGGCCAATGGGACAGGCCTCAGCCCCACACTGAGAGTTATATCCCTGGACACAGAGGTACTAACCATCAAGAATGTGAGTGCCATAACCTGGGGCAGTGGGGGTGGCTTTGTGGTGAGCATCCACTCAGGTCTGGCTGGGCTGGCCCCACTCCACCTCCAGCTCATGGACTTCCATGAGGCCCCACCCTTGCTGATTGAAGAACGAAAAGATTTCTGCATCAGGGTGTCACCTACTGAAGATATCCCTTCTACCCTCAACCCCAACTTGGGCCACTTCTCAGAGAACCCAATTCTGTACCTGCTCCTGCCTCTTATCTTTGTCAACAAGTGTTCATTTGGGTGCAAAGTGGAACTTGAAGTTTTGAAGGAGCTTCTACAGAGCCCCCAACCCATGTTGTTGGGCCTCTTGGGCCAGTTTCTGGTCATGCCCTTCTATGCTTTCCTGATGGCCAAAGTCTTCATGCTACCCAAGGCCTTGGCTCTGGGTCTCATCATTACCTGCTCATCACCTGGTGGTGGGGGAAGCTACCTTTTCAGTCTCCTCCTTGGAGGAGATGTCACCCTGGCCATCTCCATGACTTTCATCTCAACAGTAGCTGCCACGGGTTTCCTGCCACTCTCATCAGCTGTCTACAGCCGTCTTCTCAGCATTCATGAAACACTCCACGTGCCCATCTCCAAGATACTGGGAACCCTGCTGTTCATCGCCATTCCCATAGCAGCAGGTGTGGTGATCAAGTCTAAGCTCCCCAAGTTCTCAGAGCTGCTGCTACAGGTCATCAAGCCCTTCAGCTTTGTACTTCTCTTAGGTGGCCTATTCCTGGCCTATCACATGGGGGTCTTCATCTTAGTGGGAGTCAGGTTACCCATCGTACTGGTGGGCTTCACAGTGCCCCTGGTTGGCCTCTTGGTGGGCTACAGTCTGGCCATGTGCCTGAAGCTGCCAGTGGCCCAGAGGCGGACAGTCAGCATTGAGGTAGGGGTTCAAAACAGCCTGCTAGCCTTAGCCATGCTGCAGCTGTCTCTGCGCCGCCTTCAAGCAGACTATGCTTCTCAGGCCCCCTTCATTGTGGCACTGAGTGGTACCTCCGAGATGCTGGCTTTGGTTATTGGCCAGTTCATCTACAGCAGCTTGTTTCCTGTTCCCTGAGGACCCTGACTGAAGTTTTCTAACCCCAGTCCCCATACTTCATCCACTCTCCCCACAGTTCTTGTGTACCAAAGGCCTTTAGTTCTCATGCACTATGCATTCAAACAAATCCAGGCTTATTTTTTTGTTACTTTCTTTTCAGCTTTCAGTGCCAAAGAGGCCATGCTGAGTTAGAAATATATTTCAATAAAAGACAAAAGCAAGCTTGGGTCTATTCCCGTCTTTGCCCCTTGGAGCCTATGAATGGGGATAGGAAGTGTGTCTGGACTGGTATGGGCCAGGATGGTGAACAGGCTTGGTGATCCTGCAGAGTCTACTCTCTCCTCGCTCCCTGTCTTGCACATGGTAGACAAGTGTTGTACCTTTGAGCTGTATCCCCAGATCTACAAAAGCTTTTCTCTATCAGCCCTCCCCAACAGGGCAGACCTCTCTGTTCTATGAGTGAGGAGATAAAAGGCCTAGGTTCACTACTACTACAGTCAGGATATTTTTGCAGCCAGACTAGAAAGGAAGAAGTAGAAAGCCTCAGGCTATGGCAGGTAGGACTGGATCATTTCTGTATCTGAGAGACATCACAAGTCTGCACTGACTTGGTCCACCAGCAGCGTAGGAATTTGCTCTGGCCAGGCCTTGCGTGAAGCTGACATCCTGGTCCTTCTAGTTACAGCTTCCAAGTGAAGCAAGCCTGACCCTGCAGGTTCCTCGCTTCGATCCCAGGGAGCGGAATACCCCCACTTCCCTGCGCCAAAGCCAGTGAAGGCTTGTAGGCCGAGGTGGGGGGCAGGGAGGCAGACTCTACCCCAGGCTCCAGCAGGCTCGAAGGCCTGGAGGCGGGACTGAAGAACATGGGCGGGAGCCACGCGGCGGGCACGCCCCTTTCACGGCTTCCGGCGGGCGGTTCCGGCGCGCGCCAGGGGCGGCGGCGCGCGGCAGGGAACCGT